TTGATTTTCAGTAGATTTTCTTTGTTTAAGTGGATAAAAGTTCAACCAAATCTCTGCCATCAGGCAGATGTTTTTGTCTGCTGCTGCTCCGTCCTTGTTTGATCTGTTTTGTAAACTTTCCTTCCGGGTGCATGATGACGAAAAAGCCAAAGTTCGGCCACCTCTGACGTTCGTATTTCAGATGTTTTTGTTTCAGTTAAGTCTCTGTTTGTGTAGAGAAGGTTTTTATAGTATAAAGCAACGTCATCTGAATATTCTAAACTCATTCAGTTGAGATATTTTAAAGGATCTACCAGTAGTCATTGGAGCTGCTGTGGACATAAACACAGGTTATGTTAGGTTATGTTTTCTCCTGTTTCTGCTGAGGGCAACTGTGTTCTCTGGTCTTTTAAACTTGGTTAAAAAGATTGATATTAGGAGACCGCATCCTTTTTTGCCCTTCTGAAATCCCATGTGTGCCTCTGTCCTGGAGCTGCGGGCCTTCAGAGTCGTCAGTCTGTCCGGCTCACCTCTGGGAGTCTGACGCACACCTGGGTCTGACCAACTGTGACATGCATGGTGACTGCCGTCGTATGATTGATGATGACACACAAATATTGCATCCTTGTGTAAGAGTAAAGGTTGTTTCTTTGTCTGCGTGCAGCTCTGTTACACTCCCTCCAAAGGCCCAAGTAGGTTTTTTTTGTACTACTGAGCGGCTGATGCGTTCAAGGAAAAAGCCACTTTTGGCGTTTTGCCGACTGTGTGAATGCTGGTTTTCCAGGTTGTATTTTTTTTGTAATCGTACTTCTGAATGCATCCATTCATAAATGAAAATGTTAGCTCATTCAGGAAGTGGGTGCTGTGATTTTTTTTCTGTTGTAACTTTAAACTTTAAATACTTTAATTGGTGCATGTTTTGCCACAGAAAAACACTGAAATTTCTAAAGTTCCTAAACATTTTTCCTTTTTTAAAAATGTGTCAGCTGCTCGCTCTGTTTCTGTCTGCTACATGTTACTTTTTAGCTACTATTATGCTTCTTTTAGCTTTTATTGAGTTTTGCATCGTTTGATTGCAAAATATATTTTAGCAAGTGTTCTAATCTAAGAAAGATTTTCAGCTTCTTCAGCAAATTTCTGTGAAGTCCTTCAGCACGTTCTCACTGGGCTTTCACAGAAATGCAGTGTGAATTGCTGAAATGTGAATGTGCATATAACTTCCATCTTTCAGTTCTCAGTCTTGCCCCATCTCTACTGGTGTGCCCCAGGGATCTTTCCTCGGGGCCCCTCCTCTTCATCACACCTTCTTCTTCTAGTTCATATTTTCCATAAATTTTGTATCAACTTTATACTGTACTGTTAAAAAGATCTGTGATCTCAATGGGATTTGCCTGGTTAAATAAAGGTTAAATAAAGAAAAAAAAATACAGATGACACCCGGCTCTACTTTACCAAACCTAACTACCCTCCCACGCTCCTTCCTCACTGATTGCCTCAGTGAACTAAATCACTATTTTTCTTACAATTTTATCCAAGTAAACTGTGATAAAATGGAACTCATCCCTGTCTGTACCAAAAACACTCCTTCAAAATCTGAACATTATCTTCTCCAATTTAACAACTAACTCGATGGTTTCCCTGTCCCTTCAGGTCAAGAGTGTGGCTGTCATCCTCAACAGCTCGCTTTTCCCACCTTGTCTGCTTATTTCCACCTTCGTAATATTAACCGTCTCCATCCTCTCACCCTTCGCACTACTTCCTTCCTTGTCTACAGTCTTGTAACCTCTTGGATCAATGACTGCAGTTCCCTTCTTTTTGTACTCCCCATTAAATCCCTTCAGCAGCTACAGATGGTTCAGAACTCTGCAGCCTGTGTCATCATCCTTTCCATTTGAATCTTTGACTATATTGTATTTATTTTAACACTGTCATATCTGTTCTGCTCTGTTTGTTTTGTTGTTTTAGTTGTACAGTGTCCCATGTGTTCAGAAAAAGGTGCTTTTTAAATAAAATGTATTTTATTAGAAAATTAAATTTCTTTATTTTTGATTGTAGCTTCTGGTTTGCCTTCACAATATTTGGGTTTGATTTGGCCTTTTTATAATTGTTTATGTAGACTATTGATAATTTATCCCTTTCTTATGCTAGTTGTGTTATTGTTCTGTTTTTTCTGTCTTCAGCCTATCCCAGTACTCAGAGCACCATGAGTCTTGTATCCGGCTCTTTAGCTCTGGAAACTACCCATAAGTAGCTGCTCCGGCTTACCTGTCACTAATAATACCCAAAGATTAACCACTTGTGAGTCACATGCACCCGTGATGCTGTACTTCGCATGTTTTCAGTGAAAGCTTTTGAAGAATGACACTTAGATTTTAGCTGATTGCTGGAAACAGAACGAGGCTGTTATCATCCTGCTGGTACTGTTCCAACACACACAAGTTAACTTTTAGAAGGTGGTATTAGCGAAAAATTAAAAGGGGATTCCTCACCTCACTTGGTGGCTTACTTTGTCACCCTATTTTTTAAATTTATTTAATGTTAATGAAATCATAGTTCGTTCAATGACAGCTTTCTGCTGAGTTGTGGGATTTGTAGTTGCTTTAAAGCAGCATGACGTTTGCATCACCTCACATGATGCAGCTGTCAGCTGTCCTGCACCCTGAGCTGCAGCGATGCTGCTGCACATGAGCTGGGTGGCAAATGTTAGGAGGAGCCGCATCACACGATGTAGAGATTTCTAGATGCTAATGAGTGTAGCACTGATGTAAAGTTAATGTTGCTTGGATGGATATTAATCGACCTTTCATAAAGTAATGATGGGATGAACGTCTACAGCTGAATATGTATTGGAGTCGCCCTGATTCACGATGTCTGTCACAACCTTAGAAAACTATAAAACGGCTATAACTGAGTCCGTTTTTACAGATATTGAGCTAAAATGTGATTATCTAGCAGTTGACAGTTGTTTACTCTGAGCGATAACTCATCTTGCAACTTCTCGAAGTGCGGAACAAAGTTGTGCACAATAAAAAAAAAAAAACTAAGTTTGCCAACAATTTCCTGCGGGATCAATAAAGTTCCATCTAATCTTGTCTCTTCTCAGGAAAAGATGGCTTTAGTCTAAAACTGGCATGAGCGGTAGCGGGTGATATGCATCCCTTCAAGGAACACTAGGCCTTTAAATTACTGATCTATTTCATGGACTTTTTCTCTATTCAGGGTAAATATTGTCTTCCTAATAATCTCCTGTTTTCTTCTGTTTAAAATCATGCAACGTTATGATATAATATTTCTTTATGTCCGTGTCAGACTGTTGGAGTTTGTCCCCTCCTAGTGGTGGGGACACTCTTGCACAGCAGTGTAGGTGTAAATCGTGAACTCAGCAGTTTGAATTAGTTCCAGTTCACATTGTCATTTAAAACGGAGCAAAATTAGGCGCCGAGAAATCACTTTTTGAATTCAAACCCATAAGGAGGGTTTCTGAAGTGTTGATTCCTCCTCTGGTAACAAGGTTTTGTCTCGATTTTAAAGCAGAATGGTTGAAACTCTAATCCTCCTCGTTAGCGCCGACTGTCCCAGTGGGGAGAGTTCAGGAGTGCAACGGGCAGGTTAGTACCTGCTCCTGATACTCCTGCAGATTAGGCTCACTGGGCAGAACTGTGATAAGTCACGACGGGCTTTCTGATTCAGATGGCAGAGCTCGTTAACCATCAGGATGGGCACCCACCTTTACATATACAGGAAGTGCTTACCTGTTTTTATGCTTCAGAACTACCTGAAAGCAACAAACCTGTTTCCTGAGAAAATGCAGTGTGAATGCTTATTGCTGAATGATTTCTGCTGAAAGCTGCTGAAAATGTTTCATCGTCAAACTGTTAATGTGAGCTGAATTCGAACAGCTGACATTTACCAAATGCAGGAAAATAAAAATGGAAAGCATCAGAGAAACGGAAAAAATGTGTAGAAAATGCAGAACAGAGCAGAATTGCAGCTGAATAGGCAGAGATTGACTGAATAGATAAAAAAAAAAATCTGAAATTGGCAAATCAAATGGCTAAAAAGGCTAAAATAAAAAAGCTGAAAAAGCTGAAAGTAGCATAAAACAATTACTTTTTTTAGAAAGAAGCACAAAAGTGGAAATTAGCAAATAAATAAATGAATAAATAAATGCAGAAGGAAGGCCTAAGATTGAAAGAAAAAAAAAAAGACTAAAATAAGCTGAAAAAGAAGAAAAAAGCTGCAATAAACAGAGAGAAGCTGAAAGGAGCTGATTCAGATCAAAAGCTGTAATGAACAGTCTTTAAAGCTTTTAAAGAGTTTGAAGGATGCGAAGAGAGCTCCATTAGTTTTCAATGACAAAAACATGGTCGACTATGGTAAATATTTCAAAAAGTTAAAATTGCACAAATACCAAAAGTCAGAGCAGGAATGTCCTGAATGAGCCGAACATTTTGATTTATGAACTACTGAAATGGAACAAAAACTGAGGAATGACTTGCGTACTGAGGAGAACTGGATCTGAATGGAGTGAATGATTTATAAACATTCTCACAATAACGCTCTATCGCCCACCACTGGAGGTGAAGGGGTGATAATGTAGCGCGTGTTTGTTTGTAGCATTAGCAAAATATATCATGATCCACTGGATGGGTTTCTAAGAAACTCAGACTGTAATCACTGGATCTTCATCTAACACACGTTAACATTTCAAATCAACCTAATTCAAGATGGCCGCAGAACTAAGGGACCTTATCCAACACAAACATGTCTTCTTTATCTCCTTCTGTTTTACAGATAAGGAGCTAAAGTTCGATGTATTCGTAGCTGAAAGTCTTCAACAGTATCACATCTTGTGATGTTTGATGTCATTTATGAAGTTTGACCAGAATAACTTTGTCTCATTCTTCCTCAGCATGATTTGGTGTTTAAACAGTTAAGAAGGCTTCATCATGTCTTCTCCTCAGAAACGTTGCCATGTTTCACCTTCACCTGTCGTGATCGGTTTCTCTTTCGCCCATCAGAGGATGACGTGGACTTGGAGGCCCTGGTGAATGATATGAACTCGTCGCTGGAGAGCGTGTACTCGTCCGGCAGTGGTCCGCAGACAGAGTCCACCCCGCTGCTGCACAACGGCCAGAACTCCTGCTCACATCACCATCACACACAGAGCAACCAGCCCCGGCAGCTTCACACCGCACAGGTCTCCCCCGAGCCACCGCCTTCCTCCTCGCCAACCGCCGAGCCACCCCACACCGGCCTCCGACGCTCACAGCCCATGCACATCCTCGCCGTCAGGTTAGTGTTTGACGTAAACTGAAGTTTTCTCAAGTTTCCACTTTGCATCTTTTTCAGCAATAACCACCTTCAGCTCTCTTACTAGATGTTTATCTTTAAGATGTATTTTGATCAAATGGTCCAGTGTTTATATAGTTTTAGATCAGACCATTTTGGTTCTCGTGATCTGAGAGCTATTTCAGAGCATTCTTGCATAACTCCCAGTGAACTTGTCATTAGCCTTAGGGTTAGTAAAAGTTTATTTCAGTTCCCTATTCCATAAGGTTCAATTGTCCCCCGTCACAAGAGCAAAGAGCGGGAATTAAAAATACCCTCCATCCATCCGTGCATATTGTGATCATAATAACTTGAAAAATAAGTGAGGTACCACCTTCCACTTTGGTGTGTGGCTACATGTAGCAGTACCAAATTTTATTTTTTTAAATTGGGTTGCCACGTCAAAATCCAAGATGGCCACCACCATATGGTATAGACATAAGGTCATTTTCCAGGTTGTCCAGCAACAACCGCTTGACAGAATCTGGTTGTCCACCAAAAATTTAGGTTGTCTGCAACTTTAACAATAAAGAAGGCAAAACGTCTAAAGAACAATGTTATTTAATCATTATATTTTCAAAGTTTACTACATACAAATACTCTCAGTCAGCCATCTTGTGGACTGCTCGAAATGTCCAGGCTCTTTCAGGAGCTTCTGCAGAGGAACTTCCTTGTTCTCCTCATCCTCTTCCTCCTCAACAGACTTTGCAAGAGAGACACACACACAGTGTGCTTAAGGTAGGGATTAAAGGAAAACAACTTTTTTGACTGAAATTGTTCCACACCTAGAGGTTACCCAAGCATACAGTATACTATGTACATGAACTTAGTTAAAATATAGCATTCTTGAATGAAGCGCCATCCAGACCAACATCATTCTGAAGGAAGAGACTGGTTTTAACACCTTTTATCTTGTTTACTTTTTTGTAATTTCAGTGTTTAATTGAAGGGTTGCCTGATATATTTTAAAAAGTCATAGCAGAGGAAGTCCTTTGCAGAGCATAAATTACAGTATCTTAAAATTATATTTTTAAGTTGACAGACCGACAGATTTCTCCCCTAAAATTATAATTTATCAAAAGGAATTGTATTTGCAGGCTTTCAGCTCATAGTCATTTAAAATTATTTATTTTTCATATTTGATGATTTATTAAAATTTATTTATCATAGTACAGTTACCGCTCAGTATGGTTCTTAATAGAGATGCACGATATTGGATTTTTGGCCGATATCTGATATGTTAAAACTTATTTGGCCGATAACCAATACCAATATTTTTTTCCTAGACCTACTTGCAGAGACTACATAGTTTTCTCTGCTGTGGGATTAAAATTCTACATTATTCTGCACGGTCTTTGTCAGTGTGGCCTGTTACCAAATGCAGATGCCAAAAAGGGGACTTAAAATGATGCAAGACTTCAACTTGGATTATGTTTAATGTCAAATTTATTCATGACATTTACTCTTTCTAACACAAGGACAACACTCGAACAGTGCAAATTTGTAAACTTTATATCTGTGAATTATTTTGATGGAATGGCTGATGTCCGATATTTAACTTTTATCGCCGATATTGGCTGATACTGATACACGATACCATGCTGATAATATCATGCATCCCTAGTTCTAAATAAAATGAAGTTTAGCTCATCCAAACAACAATAGCACCGTGTTGCTGTTAAAACACAATATAATTTGATTTTGCAGATATGTACGATAAACTATATAAATAACTGAAACTGGCTCTCACAGAGAGAACTTTGTGAGTTTTGGGGAAAAATCAAAGTTAAACAGAGACGCACATCTGTGCTATAATCTGGGACATATAAATATTCATCTTTTAGCGTTAATATTGTTTAATTATTAGAACTAAAGCAGCAGATGCAGCCTTTTCTCACTGTGAGAGTCGCTCAGGCTGAGCGCTCTCTCTCTCTCTGACCCAGAGTTTGGTCACGTGCACAGGTTGCGCCTATCAATAATGACGATGATGTCGAAGCTCCGAAAACATTAACATTTAATACAAAGTTAGACTTTGGATACAAAAGTACTGGAGAGGTTGGGGCTCGGTGCAGAAAGAGGGGGTGAAGTGATGGTGTATCAGTTCTGGTATTTCCCCCGGCTGCAGTGAATTGGTCATGTGCCAACCCAAACGTTTAATACGTAAACATTTAATAATTTTTCACGTCATCACCTTGGGTGAGGGTAGCAGTGTGTCCTCCTTGGAAAATAGTCCAGGAAACACTGACTGGTGCTCTCTCCTGCAGTCTGTGTCTAAGTTGGGAATGCTGGGATCACCCACCATATATCAGACAGCACGACCCGCCCTGCTTTGCTCTGATTGGGTCAAACTGTGGCTCTGGTTCTCTTTATTGGTTGAATGCACCGTCAATTTAATCCCTGTATCATTATTGGATTGGATGGCTTTAAAAACCCACAACAAGACATACATTTTTTTCCCCCCTTTAATTTTTAGACATTCAAAATTAGGGAAAACTATAATGGCGATGAAGAACTTTAATAAATCTATCATGGCGATGAAGAACTTTAGTCCATGTTTATTATACTTACTTGTCCACGGACAACTGAGTTGCGATCTGGTTCTAAGATGAAAATATGTTGTCTTAGAAAACCAGAAACTGTTTATGTTGACCCTGTAAACTTATTACCCCAAACATTTAAGGAAACTCTGCTTTCTAGTTTTTATATTGTTTAAAAGTATAGTTTATTCAAATGACTGGGGTGGCTGAAGAATAATCTGTGGTGGCTATGACCATCATTGGCCATTATACAGCAAGACGGTAATCTATAGCAATGGTCCATACAAGAAAGACTTTGTACAGTCTTTGACCTTGATTTGTGGCCCTGACCTTGAAGCTTGGGTGACAAAAAGTGTTTGGAACACTCCGTCTAGTGATAGTGCATAAGTGCATGAAGTTTGTGAAATTATATTATGTTAAGCGGATCAGAAGTTACAGTGTGGACAAGAGAAAACTTGTGTACAGATGGAGACTGTACCATAATGTGTGTACCTTTTGACGAGAGTATAATAAAAATGAGACAATCACAAGAATGGCAAAATAATCAAACTGCACCTGAGGGAAGGGAAACTGTATAAATGGATCCTCCATAGTAATGCAGAGACCTGACGTGTACAGAACCAACACATGATAAAAACTTCTGTGGCTTAAACTGTGTTCAACCTTCTACATCTTCTGCATATAAACTGATTCAGAGCTCAAACCTCCTCTCCACTTTAAAGGAAAAGAACCAGCCCCCCCCCACCACCACCCCCTACCCTCGTTATAATAGGCGATAACATTTCTTCTCTGCTTCTGGTGCGTAACCTGAGGATGACCCGTTCCTGCTTGTCACTCCCTCTTTGCCTCAGACTGCACCAGCAGGGGGAGAACGCAGAAAATCCTCATTTGTTTGAATTCTTCCTACTTGTGCAGATTCAGAAAGTTGCTAAGCTCTCTCTTTTCTCGCTCGCACACACAAACACTCGTTATAGCTCCATGAATACATTACACACAAACTGGTTCAAAGTGGAGCTGGTGCCAGCTCAAATTTTGTGCCTTCAGCCCATATGACAGAAGCAGAGGAGGAGTGATCAGGTAATGGAGTATTCTGTCTTATGAGTGTGTCTCTCTGTCAGACACACACACTCATACATATGTGGGCCCTGAAGTTCTTATTATACAGAACTGACCTCTGGATCACCCTGCTCTCTGGCTCATATGGGAGCACATCAAAAGGCCTGATCCCTTTTGAACTGACTGCTTCTACAGACAGAGGAGAAAAAAGAGGCTTTTATTTAGGTTTTTTTTTTTTATACTTCCAATCTGAAGTTTCACAAACTGACTTGCTCATTTTTAAAAAACATAATTCAGCCCATCTGTCAAATAATCATTGGAGACGTATGCATCTGTTTAAGCTAGAAACTACTTTAATGTGATGTCTTGATTTAGTATTGATGTGTGATAAATATTGCAGGAAATTATCCGGCAGGCCGCGGGAGTCTATAGTTTCCGCTCGCTTTGAGACTCTTCATTACGGTCAGATCAGACGGAAACAGGCATGAGCTCCAAACTGCAGCAGAGCTTTATTAATTCTAGCTCTCCAGCATTTATTTTTTACACGTTTCAGCAGTTTCGAGTTGGAAACTTTTTCTCCCTTTGCACTTTTTTTAAGAGGCTCCTCCAGGTCGTGTCTTTGATGTCTGTTTATTCTAATATAACGTAACACCACAAAGCATTCTGCGTACTGAACTGAACCTCACTGCTGGTTGTGTTGTGCAGGAGGTTGCAGGAAGAGGAGCAGCAGCTGAGGACGTCGTCTCTCCCGGCCATCCCCAACCCTTTCCCCGAGCTCTGCAGCCTAGCAAGCTCACCTGTCCTCATTCCTGGGTCTCTACCTCCAGGTGAAGCCCCTTCAGGCAAATATGTAAGTTCAACCGTACACAGACACTCAAGGGAAGTCCTGATTAAAGAGACGGCATTACTTAAAGGAAGGCATTTTACCTGTCACCTTTCATACCAGAGTTTTAAACTTTAAAGGCGTGATGATGAGAGGGGATGGATATATAGCAACTTTTGTGTTGGCAATGGTTGATTAGCCATGGTGGATATTTCAAATCAGGTTGACTCCATAAGTTAATGAGCTGTAGAGGTACACCCTTTGAGCACTTACTAGAAGCAAGTAATCAATAAATGTTCCTCTACAGCTAAGTAAAGAGTAAGGATTACTGTGCCACACTTTATTTAGATCTTTCCAACACTTTCGATACTGTAGATCATGACATCTTATGCCATACGCTCTCAGATATTGGTTTCTCAGATCACACTGTTTGTTGGTTTTCTAACTCTCAGATAGTCCTGCAACAACGACTCGATAAAATCGATGATTGAAAGTGTTGACAACAAATTTAGTTATCGATTCGTTGTCGCGCGATTAAGCATCTTTCACGGTGCTGCGGAGCCATTTTGTTCACGGGCAGTTCATTGTCAATGCTGACTGACTGAATAAAGTTAAAAAAAACAACAACTCTGCAGCGCGAGTTGAACAGAGCGAGGGGGGAGGCGGAAGCAAAGCAGAGGCTGTTTTCAAAAGAAATTAAATAAATTTTACAAATGACCGACGCAGCGAAAACTCTTCGACCCAAGTCCTACAAAGTGTGGGAGCACTTCACAAAGATAAAAACTGCGCAACATGCAGCTTTGAAAAGTGACAACACGACACGGGAGAACCACGGAGATAAACGTAAACATGTCGGAGTCACGAGGAGGAAGAAGGAGCTGCAGCTGATACAACCCATGTGTTGCAGGTGAGTCTCTACAATATCTACATTTGATCTGTTTCCAAATGAGAAAACGTAACGTCAGTCTCTCTGGAACCTGCTGCTGCTTGTTTGTTTGCTGATTAATGATGGTGATAGAGAGCGTGTGTTACTTTGTATTTAATTTAATTGGTACAGTCAGTGTTCAAATGTGATTTATAAATAAATCTAACACAAAGATAATAATTTAATGATTAAGCTTCAACTTTTAATTTGCTGGCAAAGTCTGAAGACACTGCAGGTATGGCAGGATGAATTGCATTTAAACAGGAATTAAAGTAATTTATTACATCTACTCAACTGTGTGTAATTAAGTATTTTATATACGTGTGTGTGTGTGTATTTAATTGCTCTTTTAGCTACTTTTGCCTGAACCTAATACTGTAAGTGAAACAAGGCATTTCTTGAGTTGCTGTAAATTATGCTATAATACATATTTACTGTCTCATTCCAGAAAACAACAACAACAAACAATGACCGTCTTCATGATGGACAGACATCATGGACACCACAGCAGCAGCTGTCTTCACTGAAAGCATCTTTAACATGATCGTCACTGACATGAGGTCTCTGTCGATGGTTGAAGACGAAGGCTTCACTACAATGATCCACGCTTTTAATCCAGGTTACAATAATCCACACTTTTAATCCAGGTTACACTCTTCCCTCAAGGACACATTTTACAAAGTAGCTACATATTGTGCAGGTATAAAGACACATTTGTATATATTTTGTGTACATTTATTTTTTTAAGCTATTTGACTAACTTTTATTTTTTTATTATTCAATATTTTACTAACAGAATAGTCAAATAGCAACCTGTTTTTTTGTGTGAATTGCTGTCAGTCAAATGTTCAATTTTGGAATAAAGGGGTGGAAATTAAAACTTTTTTTGTTTGTTTGTTTTGCCGATTCATCGATTAATGGAAAAAATAATAGGCCGATGAATTGTTTATTGAAATAATCGTTAGTTGCAGCCCTACTCTCAGATCAGAAGCATAGTGTGCAACACAATGGTACTTTATCTAGCTATTTAATGGTCACTAATGGTGTGCCACAAGGCTCAGTTTTAGGACTCCCTCTTTTTACACTTTATATAAGTAATATAGGTCAAAACATTCTTGATACCTCTTTGTATCTCTATGCTGATACATTTGTTTATCGTCGAGCTAACCCGGTTACCAAGGTTTTCCAGCTTGACATCATTCAGGTTTCTTTTTCAGAATCAGATCTTGTTTAACTCTGAATGCTAGGAAACACCTTGTAGCAGCCACTTCTTTTTGAAACTAGCTATTGATTATGGTGACATAGTTTACATGAATGCCCCTGCCAGCTCCTTGCAAATGTTGGATGCTGCCTACCAGGGGGCACTAAGGTTCATAACTGGTTGTAACTATCATACCCATCACTGCACCCTGTACTCATTGGTCAGTTGATCATCATTATCCAAACGTAGGCTCTCATACTGGTTCATCTTCATCTATAAATCACTTCTTGGTCTGCTGCCTTCTTATATCTCCTCCCACATGTCATGTTGTCAATGCAGTTACAGCGTGCGCTCTCAGGCCTTCATTACCTGCAGCGTTCCCTCATTACTTGCTCTGCTCCCGTAACCTGGTTAGGATTATTGGCGTACCACTTGTTTTCCCTAGCTGCATTAGATAAAAAGGCAGGTGTTATAAAGCTGCTCGTTGTGAAAGACATTCAGAATGCTGTCCATCTTTTCAAATAGCACATCCCAGTTTAGTGTTCATTTGTGTTGTTTGCAGCTTTATCCATGAAAAAAGGAATCGGTGGCGAAGCACAATGTTTCAGCTGGTGTTCACCTAACGCTTGTACCCACACACGTGACTGCAGTTCTGTTAGCCAGTCTGTTCCTGGAAGTCAGAATCCCTTCATCCTTGCTCCTAATGGTCTTCACATAGAGGCAGCCAAGCCTAGTTACAGCTACACACCAGTTTACAGTAATCCCAGGGTTGACAGTTTCTCATAAGCATTTCCATTCTTCCCCTCTGGCTATGATCTGGGGCTTTTCATGCACTGCAGTTCCAGTTAAATCAGGATTCTCAAGCCAAAACACAAACCTGACTTTAATATGGCTCTTCCCTCTCATAAGTCTTCTTTTAAATCACTTGATGGAGTCATAAATCTGTGGGTTTAGATTTGAATTAACTGCATTAATAAATAGTTTAAGTAGGAACATGGTTTGTGAGGTTACATTTTCCCGGGCTTGACTGGGAAAGTTTTTTTTTAATGTTTTCTCTGTGTACAGGAATCAGTTCAGTTTAAAGCTACACCATAAACTCAACAGCTTATGTTGTTCTGGTAAATAGGCCAAAGTTTATTCTAATGCAAAGTGGATTGAGTTGCATTTAATTACCTGCTGAGGCATAATTTTAACTGAATAAGTGAGTCAGGCCCATCTCGTAAAGAGCTTGCAGTGAGTTTATTGTAGTTTGTGTGATCTGCTCAGGATTGGGAAAGATGTAATAATGATGTAAATTCTCAAATGATTTGCTTTAGATGATTTAGATGTTGCCTGAACTTAAAGGAATAGCTCTGTGGAAGTGTTGTCAGTGTCTTACCTGCAGTTGAAGTCACTCAGGGCATCATCCGTTTGGAAATAACAGGCTGACGTTTTCTCAGAGGAGTCAATCGTATGGCTAAACCAAAGTGGATTTGTTTTCGTCAGTTTTATATTACACCGGTTTTTTCCAAGAAGTCTGAGGTTCTTTACAGTGAAGACTGAGTTGACCATGGTTATTTATAAATATTGACAAATTGTGAAATGAAATGTATTATGTGCAACCTAGCTGAAAGCCTTTCTGATGCTAATGAAGTGTAAAAAACATTGTTTTAAAATGGTTCAAATGAACACTATTTTATTGACTGTAAACTTTCGTACTCTTCCATCACACACTGTCTCTCGTCGTGGGCGAAGAGGTTGAATTGGAAATACCCTCTGCCTGTCTGTGCACGTTGTGAGCCTGTTAACCTGTAAAATAAACGAGGTACTCACTTCCATTTTGGTGTGTGGCTGTATCAGGGTGTAAGAAAGATTACTTTCAAAAATTGGGTTATCACGTTAAAATTCAAGATGGCCACCGCCATATATATGGTATATGTAAACCAACCACTCTTATCTTTTGAGAAAACTGTTTTCTAGTTTTTATATAGTTAAAAGTACAGTTTCTTGAAATGATTGTTGTGGCCCAGATTAATATAGTGTGGCCAAAGCCACCATTGGCCGCCCCCTGGCTCCACCATTGCACCTGGTGGTAGATAAAGCCACTGTCTCTCACTTAGCTGCATCTGTTAGGAAATAGTTGGTGACTCTGTTAGTGTTTCACATGGATCACTACTGATAATGAACCACAGTCGACCCGGTCTTCAGTGTAAATAATGGAAGAACTGTATTAAAAGGTCTTTTTCTTTAATCATACCTTGATAATAAAGTTTTTATGCACGTGATATGCCAGATGTCATGTAGTTTGTTAGTACTCAGAGTATGTGTTGGGGATCAGTCTCAGCTACCACCACACCACATTTTGACTCAGTATCTGTCAGTTAGAAACAGTTACAGCCATTTTTGTTTGTGGCAGCCGTCTTGAATCAAGTTGGCTCAAGAGTACAGGAGCAGCCAATGAGTTTCATTAAAATCTGTCCAGTGCTTTGTGAGATTTTTTTGCTAACAGAACAGATGAACATGCACGCACAGATGCAAGTTTTGCATTTGCACCGAACAGCTTGACATTTTCTGAGGGATTTGTAATACAGGTAAGATGTTGACTACAGATGATAATAATCTAAAAAAAAACATGATTTCAAAAACTTCAAACTTCCCTTTTAAGTGTGTCTCTTTGCACAATTTAAAAAAAATCAAATACATTTTGTGAGACTGTCCATTATGTAACTTTGTTAGTTTGTCAGTCACCATGTTGACTTCCAGCATTTGTTGAAACCCTGCTTGGAACGTATAAAAACCTGCAACACAACGATAATGGAAACGTTTTTTCTAACAGATTAAATATCCAAGCTGCTTCAGAGAAACAAGGCAGCGAAGACCATGGAAAATGTAATTTCTTGTTTGTGTTTACAGCACATACAC